ACAAAGAGTCCTTTGGTTTAATCAAATGGCAAAAATTATATTAGCTTTGGAATTATCCTGTTTGTCATTCTCATGGCATATTTTTGCCAACAGATTAAAAACCTGCTCACCATGTAAAGGAAGACTCTTTTAGGGCAAGACCTACACTATCTTACACTAGCCTCTTCTGCTAATCATCATTAGCAGTCATCATTCTGGTGGAAAAAGGGAGATTATGGGTTTGGTGGAGAACTTCCTGTGTGTGATAACTCTACTACTCGTTGTACCATGTCCTGCATAAATTAGAACCTTACTTGACATTGTGAGGATCGCGGCGTCAGACCCCAGCCCTTCGCACCAAACTCGTGACCGAAGGACTAGCCAATCTAAAACCGCGATGTCACGTGCATAACAATGCCACACCCAGCTGCACCCTGCACAAAGATTTTCCGGCTCACTGGACCACAATCGATGTACCGGCAGCCTGGGAGCGATTGTTACTGGGTCAGGTTAATTACGCAATTAACCCTTCACACTGCCACCACCTCCTTTTTGTACAGAGAAAGAGGAAACTCGGCAATATCAGCAATAACACTATGATGTTTGAATAATCATCGGTATACCACTGTCACCGCAGGCAGAGATATACCGAAGTTTAAAACACACACAGTAACGCTCTTCAGCAGCAGGAATTCGTAGTTTGCATTAAAGAGCATTAGAAACAGTTCAACACTTTCAGAAAGTAAGATTTATTACTAAAAGGTCAAAATGGTGCAAAAAAAATATTTACAGAAAAAGGTGTAGCTAATATATATATAAATATACAGAGAACAATAGCACAGCAAAAAGATAACAGAAAGGCGTTTAAAGGGTTAAAGTACTTGCCAGTCAGCCTTGGTTTAAGCAGCTTCAAGTTATATGAGCCCAAAAGGATTTCTTGTCTCTACTGTCAGTTTCGATGTTAAAACAGGAGAATCTTCTACTCTCTCACACAGCTCAACTCAGCCTAGCTTTTCTAGCAAATCAACAGGGTGTCTCCCTCAAGCAGTAACACAATCGTCTGTTGTGGGGAGGGAAGGGTAGGTGGAGACCTAAGTTATAACCAGAAACTCTCATAGTTTATATTTTGGCCCATAACGTTTCCTAGGTACATGTAACATTCCACCCACGGGTAGATTAATATGCAGAATGTCTACATATGAAATATGACATGCTTGCTGGGATGGTTAAGGAGATTTTATTTTCTGCTCTCCTGTTGATCTCAGCTAGGGAATGTAATATACCAAACCATTTGTATTAATGTGACCAATCTGAAGATATGCCTGGTTTTTATGTACAGGAAGTCTCTCATATTCCAAGATATGAAATCATGGGGGAAAATGGATGTTGAATGTGGTGTCTTGTTTTATGCCTTCTCTGGAATGTCTTTGAACTCCCGGGAAGGACTTGATTTACGCGTTTACGATATCCCAGATTGCACAGCTACTAGACAGTTAGGCCTTAGCTCCGTTGGGGGTTTCACAGCTCGGAGCTCTCCTGCTGTGCCTGGTTTGCCAGTGACCTCTGTTATCACCCAGACCACATGCCACTCAACAGCGAGGGAGGGGAGGTGAGTGGAGGAGAAAGCCTGCTTTGGGAGGCAGAGAGATGAGACAACATGGAAGGGTTCTTAACAAAATGGAGGACCGCGTCCATCTCTGTGGGCACAATTGCTACAGACATGTCCTTCAATTAACTTCTCTGATTAACCTTTGGCTACAGTTCCAGTTTACTATAGGATTCTCACTAGACAATTAAACCACTCACCACTACTTTTCCACCTCTTTTCCTACTTAAAATACAAATCTTTTAATGCATCTGTTATATTTCTATGGCTTAATCTATGAATCTATCAAATTCTGTATAATCATATGCGGTGTACTCTTGAATATATCTATGTCAACTAATAACCAAGACCAGAAAATATCTTGTGATGCACTCATGAGAATTTTATTAAATTAAATAAAATATAGCAAAAAGTGATCCTTTGATCACTGCGAAATAAACACATTGCAACACATCACCATTAAAATGTCTGTTACATGATCTGTCATATAAAAACACCACCGGAATCCCTGCATTCAGACCATCCGCTCTGCCTAATGATATTCAATCATAAAAATCTGAGTATAGTCTAAAACTTCCAATACCTTCCAGTAACTGTGGAAGGATTGGTAAAGCTTTAGGCTCATAGGTCATAAGAATCTCAGAAGAATTTCTTCATTTAGTAGGCTAATATAACTGATACCACATGTATGTCCAGAATTTGATATTGATGCATTCCAGGCAGCCTGAAACATAGTATCACTCTATTTCCATGTTAGCGTGCACAGCCAGAGGTAATGACCAATTGTGCAATATAAACAACTGTAACAGAATACAATTGCAATATGTGTCTTAGGCAGTTGTAGGAATGCAAATAATTCTATGTCTTTTTTTTTGACCCCTCTCAAATGCTCAGATAATTGTTAAAGCTTTATTAGGATTATTACCTATAATCACTGTGCACTGCACTGTCAGTTGACTATTGCAATCACTGACAATTGAAAAACATCCCTGCTAATCGACCATGGTAATGGGTACTTGGATATATATTGCCCATTACATCACATCAATGTGAGCATTTTTATTTGTTAATTAAGTTTTATTGCTGGTAAGTTTAGTGCCATATATCAAATTATACATACATGTGACATTGTAGAAGCTTATTCCCATATCATTGCTTTAAGGAGCATTATACTTATCTCTTAACTTCTCTTAACTATCTCTTACATGAGTGAAAAAAAATCTCTGTGCTTCTTGCAGCTGTGCTGGTCCTTGGTTCCCCAGTTCAGCCATGTTTTTACGTAACATGCAACAAATCTGTAACATTTTAATGGTGGTGGGATGCAATTTGTTTATTTTCTCCAATTGTTTTTTAAGGGATTGCTTTTTGCTAGGATATGTTATTTAATAAATTCTTGTGAATATACTATAATTCTTTTATAGTCATGATTTTTAGCTGGTATGCATTAGAACTCTGCAGAACACTAATAAAAATGTTTTAATCAACCTACGGGGAAAGTTAGTAAGTTTAAATTACATTAATTAAATAGTTTACCTGTGTAAACTGTTAATGTTGACAAGAAAAAAACGAATTCTACCTAATTGAAATTAAAATTCAAATGGATTGACGAGCAGTCTTCCTTACTGATTTCAATGCACTTAAAAATTCGAATTAGAAAAATGAAATCAAATTCAAACTCCAGTAAAGTTCCAGTCAAATCTGAGTTCAATCGGAATTGGAATCTCAACACTACTCCTGAGAAATCTTTTAGTTATGGTACTTGACTGGCAACTGAAAGTTCCCCAGAAAGCCAATAGAACTGCGGGTCTGGACCTAAAAAAAAAGAAAAGCGGGGGACCAGGGCAGCAAGAAAAAATCAGTAAGTAGAGTTAAGCCCAATACACACTATAAGAACATTGGACTAACGATTGTCCGGTTTTCTTCGATGTTTCACAGAAGGTCAAAACTGAGGATGGCACTAATCATACGAAAATTCTTGTATGACAAAGACTTTTTTTTTTGTTTATTGTTTCTTATCATGTGCAGTCTTTTGTATTTGATCTTTCTCATATGAAACCCATATGAAAACATTTCACATCAAGTGCAAATTGTTAGTTCTGTTCAAGTACAGGAAAAATTTTGGAGTTTGTCCCACCATACATTTTTTATTGGAAAGTCTGAATCAGATGTCAAAAGTTGTGTGCACACTATACGAGAATCGAAGGATCGTGCCTCATACAAAATTTTGCTCCTGATTTTCTCATAGTGTGTTCACCACTTTACCTGTCAGGGATGGGAGGAGTTGTATTTCCAGAGGCATTATTTTGCTGAGCTGAGGATGGGGGCAGTAATATGTCTTGGAGCTACAACATACATTTCCAGAAAAAATACATTGCCGATTGTAAAATAAGGATAGTGATATTCCAGTTAACATCGGGGGGGGGGCAAACATTTTCCAGGTTCACTGTGCTGCTGAGCCATAAATAAAGGTTGAACATTCCAGGCAAGCTGCAGTGCTGAATGAAAAAAAATGCATTAGACAAACAAAAAATTATCTGCAAAATGAGTAAAGAATATTTTATAACAACAAACACACTTCTTTTCCTTGCTATACTTAGCCTATTTTAAACCCCTGAAAGCAGAAATAAAGTAAAAATTCAAAAATGTTTTTTGGCATAAGAGAGTGCTAATTGTGTCCAGCAGTGTAATAGCATTTAAATCACAGTATCCGAATACTTCTGATCACAGTGACCCAATACACCTGATCATAGTGCCCCAATGCACCTCATTAAAATGCCCCTACAGTCAGCGCCTAATTACAGCCATTACCTAATTACAGCCAGTAAAAGTGTTTCCAATTAGCTGATTCCACTGTTGTCATTTTGTCAATTTTAATGTTGTCATTTTGCTGACCATAGCCAGGGCCTTTTCATCTTGGGGTGCTGCTTTCCAATTGCAGTCATTTTGCAGGTGTTTCTACTGTTCTGGAAGTTTAGAACCATCAAATATGTATTAGGCAGTCAGGAAATCAAATGCATAATTTATGTCCTTTAAAGTCTGAGGTGCTTTTTGGATTGTGGACCTCTCTATGCGGATAGGCAGTGAAAAAGTCCCACACATGTGGTATCCCTATACTCAGGAGGAGTAACAGGCTGTGTTTTGGGGTGTAACTCTAAGTATCCACATGCTGTGTATAGAAAATATCTTTATTAAAATGACAACTTTGTGTAAAAAAAAAAGTAAATTTTCATTTTCTTTGTTAATTTTTTAAGAATTGTGGCAACAAATAAGATCTTCAAAATATTCACCACATGTCTTACTAAATACCTTGGAGTATCTATTGTCCTGTAAAGATTATCTGGACATACCTGGTTTTGGTTTGGGGCAGGTTTGGCAAAAATTACAAAAATTTGGGTACCACATCTGAACCTCCCCCTTAACCACTTGCCGTCCAGCCGCTGTATACAAATGGCCAGACGGTGGCAGTCCGGGGGCGGGTTGCCGTTTATAAACAGCGCCCGCCATTTTGGACTGTGTGCGCTCCCTTGGAGTGCGCAGCACCACAATCCGGTGCCCGCTGTGTCCCCCGGACACAGTGGGACACCGATCATTGTAAGGGACCTCTATGCGAGGTCCCGATCATGTGATCACTGATTGGCCAATCAGTGATCACATACAGAGTAGTAAGCAAGATGTCACTTCTGACATCATTGCTTACTATGTGTGAAATCTGTGAATGATCACATGGTACAAGGCTATTCACAACAGCCTTGTACCATGTGACAAGTTGTGACCAATCACAGCTCACACAGTATTTCTCACTGGCTGCAAGAATGCAGCCAGAGAGAAGGAGAAATGATTGCTTTTACAGTCTTTATGGGTGTAAAAGCAATCAGTGTAATCATGGTGTACAGTGTCACTGTACACTGTACTGCTAGAGTGACAGTATGTAAAAAAAAAAAAAAATAATAATAATATAAAAAAAACAAATAAAAATGTAATACATTTTTTTTTAAATTATAATTTTTGGTTATAAAACTAATTTGGGTTTTTTTTTTTTTTACTAAAAAGATAACGGAATAAATTTTGGCCAAGATTTATGATGAAATATTATTTATTTGAAAAATGTTATAAGAAAAACACTTTTTTTCAAAATTTTTGGACTTTCATTTATAGAGCAAAAAAAAATCCCAGTGGTGAATAAATACCACCAAAATAAAGCTTTATCTGTCTCAAAAAATGCTAAAAAATTCATATGGGTACAGTGTTGCATGACCGCGCAATTGTCATTCAAAGTGTGATAGCGCTGAAAGCGGAAAATTGGCCTGGACAGGAAGGGGTGAAAGTGTCCAGACTGGAAGTGGTTAAGTCAATGGGGGAGTGTTACTAAAACTGGAACACACAGAATATGGTGCAGCTGTATATAGCAACCAATCAGCTTCTAACTTCACTTGTTCAGTAAAGCTTTGACAATAAAACCTAGAAGCTGATTGGTTATTATGCAGAGCTGCACCAGATTCTATGTGCTCCAGTTTTAGTTAATCTCCACAATGGGAGCCAAATGTTAAAAATAATAATGATAATTTTCTTTGCTAATAGGCAAGGGGTTGCTAAATGAATGGCGTAAAGGCTGGCCACTGCCCCAAGGAACATATACCAAAGCAATTTTTTTTTTAAATTCCAATTGGCGGGGAGCAGGAATTTTAGTAATCCTTAGTGAAACTTTGAAAATGCGAAATTCCTTTAAAAACTTAGAGACAAGGTGCTTTGGAGGGGAGCCCCTACCCAAAGCACCCCCCCTATGTTGAGTGCATGTGGCCTGGTATGGCCTTTCCTGGCCTGCCGGGCTGCTCAGATAAGGGTCTGGTATGGATTTGGGGGGGAGGGGGGACCTTCATGCCATTTTTTTTTAAATGGGCCTGGTATGGATTGGGTTGGCCCCACAGTTTTCTTTTATTTTGGCATGTGGTTCCAATTAAAATGCATACCAGACCCAAAGGGCCTGGTATGGATTGGCAGGGGACCCCATGCATTTTTCTTCTTTTTAATAATTACAATTTTTTTAATGCAGGCATTCTTTTGTTTTCATTCAGCTGTCAGCAGGATTCACCTGATGAGTCATCAGTTGTTAAACACCTGGTAGCTGCCCACTCCGTAATGACCATGTTGTGCCTCCAAAAAGTCTGACAAAACTATCAGATTGAAAACATTCATATGTGACTTTTATGCAACTTTATGTGCCCAAAGTTGCATGTTAGGGCTATGTTAAGGGCTGGGGTTAGGTTTAAATGTTAGAATTAAGTTATAAGGTTAGAGTTAACAGTTAGGGTTAGCGTTAAATGTTAAAGTTAGAATGCTAACCCTAACATTTAACACCAACCCTAACCCTTAGTCTATCCCTTAACCCTAAACTTAACCCTAACCCTAGACCTTAACCCTAACATTTAACACCAACCCTAACCCTTAGTCCTATCCCTTAACCCTAAACTTAACCTTACCCTAGACCTTAACCCTAACATTTAACACCAACCCTAACCCTTAGTCCTATTCCTTAACCCAATCCTTAACCCTAACCCTAGAACTTAACCCTAACATTTAACACCAACCCTAACCCTTAGCCCTAGCCCTTAACCCTAACCTTAACCCTAACCCTATGTTATGTACCTGGATAGTGAGCCTGATGTGAAGAGGCAGGCTTCCCGTACAACTCCGGCTTAAGGACTACTGATAGTGAGACAGCGGTCGCAGGGGCACGGTGGGGTGAGTGCCTGTGATAGCAGGTGAGCTGATGAGTTGCAGGCCAGGAGCAGGGTTCTAAAGTAGCCATGCGAGATGGATGGACACTCGAGCACAGCATGCTGAGGATGCAGGGTCAGACGAGCCAGGTTTGGTATCAGTCAGGCAGATCAGGCTTACAGCGTCAGGATGTAGAGTAGTTAGGTCACAGGCCAGGTCAGTAACGGAAGATCAATCAGACAGGAGCAGAGACAGGAGAATAATCCAAAGACAAGCCAGAGGTCAGGGCAGGAAGCAATCAACCGGAGATCAAGAACAGGCTGGTTCAGTATCAGGAGACAATCACAGGAATCAGGGAACACGAGCAGGGAAAAGACCATACGGCAATGGGACAACTACTGCAGCCAGTTTATATAGCCCTTTTGGCGCCAGCAGTAGTGACAGGCGCGCACCCGCATGTGCGAGTGCGCATGCACACGTGTGCGCGCCGATGTCCAAGTACGTGCGCATCTGTTTGACTGGTAAGGACTCTGCGCATGCGCATTTTTGTGTGCCGCGGAACTTCACCTGAACCATGGGCAGGCCTTCCCTGACACCCTAGCCCTTAACCCTAACATTTAACCCTAACATTTAACACCAACCCTAACCTTAACCATAACCCTAACCCTTAACCCTAACATTTAACCCTAACATTTAATGCTAACCCTAACCCTAAAGCGTTACTAAACCCAGGACCCTGCATTCACTATATCTGGTCTCCCACAATACACACAACATGGAAGTGCAAGTATTTTAGTGAATATAAACTGCTAAATAGCTTTTCTCATCAGCAGTTAAAGCAGTCTTGTGACTTCAGAAGAGCACTGGTTAAAGCTTGTAGGAGGTGTTTTCTTTCTGTTCTAGGAGGATGCAAAACCTCTAACCTTCTGTCTGGAGAGTGCTGATTGGCTCTGTGCTGATCACATGCACTCTCCCAAGAAAAAAAAAAAACCTCTCTAGCTGTACACACCAAACTAAACATGTGTACACACCAAACTAAACATGTAAAGTAGCATCAAAGTCACGTCAAGGTTGCACTCAATACTTTCCTTTTGGAAAAAAATACAAAACGCATAAAAAATGTAACACTTACATTTTTGGTGCGCTTCCATTGAAATCTTTTGCACCAAAAATACAATCTGCTGTGGGAAAAAAGTCTTTGACCCTTTCCAAAAATGCAGTGGCTGAAAACGCATGTGAAAGTGTCCCACAGAAAATCATGTTAAATGGACTGCAGTGTGTTTCTACAAACTTAGAAACGCACTGAAAAACCACATAAGTGTGAACCTAGGCTAATAGTTGTAGCAGTGATAATAGTAGCCATAGCATTAGTTATTCTGGTAGCAACAGAATTAATAGCAGTATGACACACTAGAGCTTTAGCGGCTGGACATCATCTATTACAGGACAGGTTTTGGCAACTGTAGCATATCTTGAATCAGTTATAATAATTATTATTGTTCTTATTAATAACTGTAGTAACAGCAGTAGTGGTTTTCATAGCTTTAGCAGTTGGAAAGCATCTATCTCAGGTTAGTCCTAAAGAGCCTGTAAGAGGCTTTTGGCAGTTGCGGTGACCACTGCTGAGATTAAATGATGAATATTTTGATGGCGCTGCTTTAGTGATAGCAGATTTCCAGCTCTTTAGTAAAACAAAGCCAAATAGTAGCAGTTGTAGTCTCAGATATTAACATAATGTGACACAGATTAATCTTATGCCTTGGCAAAACATTACATTTTTCAACTGATTCATAATGTATCATATCCACATTTATGACTGAATACAAATATTATAGGAAGTCATAGCACACAGATACTCACTCTTTAAAGAGGAAAAATTGTATTTAATGTAATAGCTAAAATGTAAATGATAGTTTCTGAGCTAACTGTAAAGATCACGCTTGTGGGAAATCAGGAAACTATGAACTCAAACCTGATTTAAATGTTTACTACTGGTGTAACTCAAAGTTTATTTGAAAAAAAAAAAAGGCCAGTTCACTGTGCTTTAGACCAGATTTTTCAACCAAGGTGCCCAGGTACACTGGGATGCCTTTAGGTTTCTTCAGGGGTGCGCTGGCAAAATGCCTAAATTTGCTCAAAAATTGTACACAAGCCAACAGGTGGATCAAACTTGCCTTTTTGCTACACAAAGCCACAACTTTCTAGTGACCAGCATCCTAACAGCTAATGATATCATTGGTTGATAAGAAGGACTTCAGGCATCTGCACAGCATCCTTCTTTGCCCCTGTCCCTCTCTATCAGCACTGGGGTCACATTTTCGAGTGAGGGAGAGAAACTGATGGAGAAGAGAAACATTTGAATACTAGTCAGTACCATTGTGCAAAGATGCGTTTAATTTGGAAGAATAAATCACCTCTAATGCTGGGTGCCCTACATGTGTGAATGCTGCTGCACTATTAGCTTAGTTTTTGCATTTTAGAATGGGGTGCCGTTAGATTTTTTAGCAGTTCAAAGGGTGCTTTGGCTGAAAAAGGTTGACAAGCACTGCTTTAAGCTTTTAGGCAAAAATGCCTACATTTGCTCAAAAATTGTACACAAGCCAATTGGTGGATCAAGCTTACCTTTTAGTTACACAAAGCCACAACTTTCCAGCCACCGGCATCCTAACAGCTAATGATTTCATTGGTTGACCAGAAGGACATCAGGCGCCTGCACAGCATCCTTCTTTGTCCCTCCCTATCAGCACTGGGGTCACATTTTCAAGTGAGGGAGAGAAACTGAGGGAGAAGAGAAACATTTGAATACTAGTTAGTACCATTGTGCAAAGGTGTGTTTGATTTAGAAGAATAAATCACCTCTAATGCTGGGTGCCCTACGTGTGTGAATGCTGCTGCACTATTAGGTTTGTTTTTTGCATTTTATAATGGGGTGCCTTGAGACTGTTCATCGGTTCAAATGGTGCCTTGGCTGAAAAAAGGTTGACAAGCACTTGTCACGTACCTGATTG